GTTGTTTAAAGAAGACTCTCGGGAGAGCATATACGACATTCGAAGAGCTGCAGACAATCTTGTGCGAAGTAGAAGTGGCAATCAACAATCGGCCACTTACGTATGTCAGCGAGGATGATTTGGACGAACCTTTGACGCCATTCCACCTGATGTACGGTCGAGGCTACTGCAATCGGATGAAAAACACGGATACCATACTTACGGCGAGCCTTGGACAGTACAAACAGCGGTTGAAACACTTACGGAAAATATTGAGAGATTGTTGGACGCGGTTTCGAAGGGAATATTTGAACGAGCTGAGACAAATGAACCTCTACCGGAAAAGGAAAACCAATACGCGAGGTCTGACCGTTGGTGATGTTGTTTTGATTAAAGAGGATGAACCAGCACCTCGGGCACAGTGGAGGATTGGAAGAGTCTTGCAGCTGGTGAAAGGACGTGATGGACTGGTCAGGGGAGCTAAATTGAAGGTTCTATCAAAGGGTGGAGCTCAGTCGTCGGTTCACAGACCGTTACAAAAGCTAATACCTTTCGAGATCGTCCAGGATGACGTCGACAAGCATGAAGGGGATGACAACGATAGGAACGCAGAACAGCATAACACGACTGAGACCGAGTCAAGAGCGGATGAGCGAAAAGGAAGTAGAAGACCAACGAGGAAGGCAGCGATCGATGGAGAAAACTTGCGGAGAATTCGCGAACAGTATACATAGCGAAACATTTAAACTGTTAGCGAATCTTTCCGGTTGGGGAGGATGTAGAAAACATTAATCTAGTGCATGACGTTTTACATTACACATTTATTTACTTTTAATAACATTATTGGTTCTGTTATAATCACGTGAGCTGTCACGTGAGCTGTCACGTGGTGAGACGATTAAAAAGACACGTGTAGGGCAATCGGAAGTTAGTTGGGATAAAACGGACAACATGTAAATTTATGTTGCGTTATTTATATTAAAATAACTATATAAAAAGCAAGTGTGAGAGTGCTTTTTACAACTAGGTAAGTATGAATAACAATAAACAGTTGAAAAGAAATGCACACATAACACTACTTCATTTGCTACACATGTATATTGTTTTTGAAGCAGAAAATTAGAGGTCATGCATAAAGACTAAGGCAAAGCGAATACTGTACTAATATGCGCACTTACCCATTCAAATATAAGTATCATACAATTTCCTCAAGTTCAAGGACCAGTTTCGTCTGTTTCGACGCTTCTGCCTAGAAGATCAATTACTTGTTGATTTATATAATATCTGATTATACATGCATGCCTAGGCAGGTCACTCAGATTACTGAGAACCACAACACTTAGAAACACCTGCACTCGTGTGAATTTAATGTTTTGAAGAATTGAAGGATATATTTCCGGGAAACAGATTTGCTTGAGAACACACAAACAATAGCATGGAATCGAGGCGGACAATGTAACCATTGCAAATAAGTAGTCTCATTGTCAGCGAGCAAATTTGGGAATTATCTTATACAAAAGATCCATGCAATCCTAACCACACATGTAAAGTATGTAAGTTCCATAATTTGCTTTAAAGTATACCGCTTCAAGCTGACCAAAAGAAAATTTATCGTTTGAGATTGAGGCGATTTGTCGTTGAGCAAAAGGCATGGAACTAACAACAGAACAAGGATATATGACCACAAATTCTATTTAGGCACTCAGTACTGTGCATGTGTCCTTTATATGAAACGTATATGCATGGTCGCATGTATCTTTGTAATTATATTTTTCGTAATAATAAGCACGAATGCATGAGAAATTTGGTAACATGAGTAAATAAATTTCAAGAGATAATATTGCGTAAATGTTATGGGAGAATTGATTCAGTATTAAATAAATTTGACACTCATTGCAGCATGTTATTAAACCAGTCCTTTTCAATTTTGCCGAAGATGAGCCTGTTTTACGGGATGAACTCTGCATTTTACCCCACTGATCTTGAAATCAGTTCTTCAAGTGGATTATTTAAAATAAATATTTCAAAACGGCCGCAGTCGCTGCATGTAATCCGTAGTGTGAGCGATGCATTCCGGATTTTATTTAAAACTTGAATTCACAGAACTGAATGATCAGTATTCAACTTCGCTGGATGCTGATGCTTATTCCAAAGAACGTTGCATAATGCATGTTCCTTGAATTTTCCTTGATTAACTGACTTACCAAGAATTTTCTCCCATCCAAAAATCAGGAAACGCTTTCGGCGATTCCGGCATCTACTCACAGTATTAATAAACTATTCAACGACAATGATTGTTCGATCAACTGAACATAACTTAATCTTAGTATAGTAAAATTCAAAAATTATATTCAAAAACTTCGGGTTGAGGGTGCACGAGGCTAAGTAAAAAAACAGCATGTTATTCTGCGGGACCTTACAGCTCATATTTAAAGTATATTACTCAAATAATCATATAAAATGTGCTGGAACATATATAGATGGAGAACATGCGTGGAAAACAGTAAGATGTATGCAAACGTTTTTTGCCAACAAATCATGAGATGAGTAAATCACTCAATTTCGATTTCTCTTCGCGCTTCCAAAACTCAAAAGACTCATTCTTGGAACTATAAGTCCCATAACAAACGCATGGGCACATTTTGTGCTTCCAAGTAATCAACGGGGTGCGTAGACATAAGACATGTCTGGGCAGATATAATAAGAAATAATATAAGTCAACAACCGAGTTAGCTTTGTTAAACAATTGTTCCTTCTAAGAAGAGACAAAACATATTGGAACAGCCGCAGAAGAATTATATTTGAAAAGGTAATTGATCTTGCGTTTGCTCATATAAGTATATATATACTCTGTATCATGCTTAATGGTTTTATTTATGTTTAATTTTTTCTTCACTGGATGTGAATGTCAAGGAGTTAATCAATCACCAAAAACGATGAAAGAGTAACCCTTTTAGAGTTGATTCATATTACATTATTAAAAATATTGCACAACCATCGCAAAATTTATTGATGAGATTGATGAGAAAATGAAGTTTAGTGTTCATATAAGTGAAATGTGTAAAAAAGTCAGTAGGAAGGTTGGGGTGCTTATGCGCTTGCGAAACATGATTCGATCCCGAGTCTGCTAAACTGACTATTTACAAAACGAGTATATTACCTTACCGTTAACATATTGCCAATTAGTTTGGCACTTTTGCAAGTCATCAGACAGTAAGAAAGTTGAACGTTCCAAGAACGAGCTCTGAGAGCAGTTTATAGAACAAAGTCGGAATCATATGATAACCTGTTAAAAAGAGCTCAAATACCTACATGAGATATTCAGTATTTAAACCTGATTAAATATACTTAAGGTAATTCCGCAGTAATTGTTCCCGAAATGAGAATGTGCTGAAACTTCCCAGGCATGGAGTTTATGATATACTTAAACATGAGTAAAATCACACAAAAAAGTCGGGGTCACCGAACTCGTTAAGAAGATATGACAATCACAATATACCACCTTTACCCTAATATGGCGCCATCTTGACGCTCATTACGAGAAACAGCAAACTCACAACAGCCCGATATTTATTGACGTTTTTAGCGCGGATTTTGCTTTAGTAAACCTATCTTGTAATTATTTTTGAAAAAATATTGTGTTTTGAGCAAAATGAAACTACTAACGTGTACAATTCTGATCCACAAATGTCTTTTGCACATTTCTTTACATATCTTTCTTTGAGAACATGCATTGATAAAGCATTTTTTTTCAAGATCCAGAAATGATTTTTCTTTTAATTTCGGATATGAAATGTAAAATGCATTAAAGAAATAAATTATCAGTTAAAAAACGGGGGTCACCGATCTTTTTAGGGAATTGTGGCATTAAAACGTGAAATACAAGTAAATAAATATACTACAGACACAAGGAACCCTAGCTACACTTTTGTATGCCTTTTTTGAAAAATTGATTTTAACGTAATTCTTTGCACGAATGTAACCAAAGATGTTTTGAAGTAACATAAGATTGTCATAAAATGATTTTTTTTTAAACGGTACGTATAATGGGTGAAATTATAAGTTATAAGATGTGCGCAGTAAAAGTGCGCAATGCAAAACTGCGGAATTACCTTAATAAAAGTATCCATTATACATATGAAAAGCCCCAAAACATTATGAATTGGACATTTTAGTTTTTAATTCAGTTTAGCCTAGCGAAACTAAATTTCAGGGCCGCGCCGTAGCAACTCGGGGGCTGGGAACTGCAGCCCCCCTCCAATAATACTAAAACGCTGTTTTCTGCCCATCAGAATTCTGTCAAATCTTCCCCAAAGTCCAGGAAATGGCATTTCAGAGACCCTAAATTTAAAAATTTCCTCAGGCTTTCGGCCCTCGTTTTCAG